TGGGTGAAAGCTCGGGAGTGGGAGGGAGTCGAGGCCAGGAGCTAAATGAGGGGGACCTTGAAAGATGATTGGCTTGAGAGGAGGGGCGGTGCTGATATTGATTAGCTGGAGCTGAACGTGGGACATCAGCAGATGTTCCAGGCGACGCTGATAAGAGTCTCCCAGATTGAAGCTTCATTTGTTCTGTAAATTCCGACGGGTCCAAATTATATCAATATCTGCAGCTGGTTCTAATGTTGCCGTCGGCACCAAAGCCTCCTGCACCAACAGCAATAGTGAAATCACAGAGTTCAGGCTATGCCAGACTACAGTAGCTGAGAAACAGCTTCCTCCTGCTACAGGTTTAAGCCCCAAACACGGTGAGACCACCAGCCAGGTTTTGAAGTATTGGTGCCTGTTACACACTTTTCCATCACATGACACAGAAAGGAAGAAAAGAAGAGCCTGGTGACTAACAGCTCTGCTAACGGCCTTCCTCACCAGCTGATTCAGTCTCTTCCTGTCCCGCTCTGCGCTGCCAGGAGCCCAGCAGACAACAGCGTAGAGGAGGGCTGATGCCACCACAGAGCCAGAGAAGGTTTGAAGCAGGGGCTTGCTCACTGCAGAGGACCTCAGCCTCCTCAGGAGGTGGAGGGAGGCGGCTCTGGCCCTTCTTATACAGGCATCGCTGTTATGAGTCCAGTCCAGTTTATAACTGACATGAACACCCAGGGATTTGAAACTCTCCACAGTTTCTATGTTCTGCCCCTGGATGTTCATGGGGAGTGAGGTGGGGGTCTTCTCCTGAATTGATCACCATCTCCTTGGTCTTACTGGTGTTCAGACACAGGTGGTTCTTCTCACACCAGTCCACAAAGTCCATGATGACCGATCGATACTCCAGCTCCTTCCCCTCAGAATCACAGCCAACCAGGGCCAGTCTTACCGGATGCCCATAAGGTACTATCCTTAGATGGCCATCAACTTAACCAGTCATCGCTTATAACTATTACGCTGATCTCTCTAAAGTTCCTGAAAATATCCAAATCTTTGATTGTGGGATTGATTTAATGTCAGTTACCTCAGCCCCTAGGGCTAGCTTGTTTTCTTTATCTGTTGCTGAGACTCTCGTTATGGAGAACTACATCTCTGAGTCAATTAGAGCAGGCATCGCACCCCTAGCCTTTCTAAGAAGTGGAATGGAACTGTGATGCCAGGGACAGAGAGTTGCTGTCTGTCAAGCTAGCTCTAGAGCAGATGAGACACTGGTTGGACGGTTCAAAGACTCCTTTTCTGGACTGACCACAAGAACCTGGAGTATCTCAAGTCTGCCAAGAGATTAACTTCTCTCTGTCTTAAAGGCCCGGACCAAAAATTTCAGTTTTGGTGGCCTTCTCTGTCTTCAGATGTGCAAGAGTTTGCTGCAGCCTGTGCTCTCTGTAATCAGTCCAAGTCGTCTAGAAGACCTTCATCTGGTTTTCTCACACGTTTGCCTATCCCTTCTCAGCCTTGGTCTTATATAGGACTTTATCACCCGGTTACCATGTTCTGGAAGTAACACCCTTATCCTCACTGTTGATGACACACTGGCCCACTAAAACGGTCCACTTGGTTCCGCTGCCCAAACTCCCCTCTGCCAAGGAGATTGGGGAGGTTCTCATCCAAGAAGTTTTTCATCTGCATGGTCTCCTCACAGACATCGTTTCCGATGTATTATTTATTATTTCCCAATTCTGGAGGGAGTTCTGCTCCTTGTTGGGGATCTCCGTCAGCCTGTTTTCAGACTTTCACCTCCAAACAGATGGTCAGACAGAGAGGGCCAAGCAGGAAACTGACACCAAGATCCGTATTCTCTGTAAGACTGATCCCACTAAGTAGGCCAGTCAGCTCTGCTGGGTGGAGCAGGTGATTAATTCTGCTCCCTCTAGCATCACTGGGCTCTCTCTCCAGTTTTTGTTGTTTTGGGTTTTCAACCACCAGTGTTCACCATTCAGGAGAGAGATGCTAAGGTTCCTTCTGCTCGCCTGTCTGCTCTTAGGTGTCAGCGGGCCTGGAGAAGAGCTAGAAAGGTCATTTCTAAGGCCTTGATTGTTCATAGCAGATTGGTCCTGTAAGGTAGTCCAGAAGGTTTGGCGGCCCACTGAGAATCTCCCCCTTAAGGTGGATAGTAAAAAGCTGGCCGTCCGCTTTATCGGCCCATTTCTGAGGTAGTGAACCCAGCGGCAGTGCCCCTCCAGCTCCCTCGTTCTCTCTTTTCCATGTGTGCCGGGTTAAACCTGCTGTAACCTCCAGGTTTTACTGATCTCTGGTGCCGGCTCGTTAAAAAGCTCCTCCCAGTGAGCCCGCCGCAGCCGATGACCAGCTGCACACTTAATCAATAAACGCCTTTTTGAATATATCACGTTCTGACTGGCATTACTTCTGTCCTTTCCTCTGAGCCTTCTGACAAGTATATGTTTGATTGGTTTTTGGTATACGTGTATTTTGATTTCTAGGCCCCCCTGGAGAAAATTCCACCAGAGGCCACTGCTGGGGTCTGATGGGAGCCAGCACTGATGAAAGCCTTCTGCTTTTCTACATCTTTATCTAGCAGATTAAAGTTATTGCTGCATCACTTCTCATTAAAATCATTAGTTTGAGTGAATCTCCTTTGATTGCCTTAAATGGAACAATGAATTCATTAATTCATTCCTGTATAATGTATTATCATTATTGGAGTATGATGTTTTATCAGAATATCATAATATTAACTGTTTAAAAAGGCTGTGAATCATTCAGTAGAAAACACAAATGTTTTAAAACAAAATATATTCTTCTGAAAGTTTAATTGCAGTTAGAAAACACTTATTTATTCGATTTGTAGCTGCCAATTCACATCACATCATCATCAAACACAATCATTATCATTCATTCCGTTTTTTCCCATTTTTTTCCAGCCGGCCTGTGAAGGCTATGAAGGGAAGGGCTGTACCAAGGAGTATGATCCAGTCTGTGGAAGTAATGGAAAGACGTATGGGACAACATGTCTTCTCTGCCAAGAGAACCAGTATGTCACCCTTCTGTCCACAAACAAGCTGAAATCACACAGAACCCGCCAAGGAAAAGGAGCCAGAGTTTTGTTTGCATTCTTCACCTCTTTCATATTTATTTAATGTAGAGAAACGTAATCAAATAATCTATATTTGCCTAAAAGCAAATGAAAGTAAACACACTAGGACAGGTCTGATAGGATTCAGCCAGGCTCAGAGAATCAGCTCAGAATCAGGCAGAAAGCTAACAGGAAGGCTGGATTAGAAAAGTAAAGTTGAGAAACTCCGGTAGCAAATGATTGAGAGAGCATCTAACCCATTCTAACCCTGTTTCTTTTTCTTCTTCTTCTTCTGACAGACGAGAGAAGAAAAATGTGAGAGTGGCTGGCAAAGGGCCGTGTCGTCAATGAGTCACAAAAAAAAAGACGAGGAAAAATGTTCCTTAGAGTCACAGATTGACCTCTGATAAACCGTCTCAATAAAACTATTCTCTGCAGCTTATTGTTTAACAATCCACAGACTTTGTTGTGAATAAAAAACTGTTTGTGAGAAAGTGATGAAGGAATGCATTTATCATCTTTTTTATTTGAAAAGAATAATCATAGTGGTAATGAAGGCTTTCTTTTTAGCTGGGATCTACGGTGGCCGGGAGGTGCAAACCAACATTACAAAATCTAAAAAACTTTTACAAGTTCCAAAACAAATTATCATTTCAGAAAGAAATTTACATAAAAAAATAAAATAAAATTAACAAAGCACTTTTAAAAATTCAAATAAATAGCATTTTAAGAAAACAAATAAAAAACATTTGAAACACTTTTACAAGTCCCAAAACAAATGATCATTTCAGGAATTCAACCGGAAAGGGTGGCTACTAACTCCGAGGCGGAACCCGCCTTGTGCGAAATTCTTGCTCTGTTCGAAATCCTGGGACGCGTCCTTAGAAGGCCAGATTCGAAGGACGATTACGTCATAGCGCGGCGCCGAGGTCTGGTCGGATTCCAAGAGTCCTCGTTATGCGGCCTTAAAATGCGTCCTTCTTTTTGCCCGATTTGAAGGACGGGTCCGATGTATCCTCGGTATTCTTGGATATCCCAGGATTCATTGCGAGACCAAGCAAGCCGTGATTTGCTCCGTGATCAGAGGA